CCCCAAAACCCCAAAACCCCAAAACCCCAAAACCCCAAGGATTTTAAAGAGTATTGAATATAATATTTTAATGCAAACTAATACCAATGTTGCACCAGACACTGCTACTAATTCCGTGGTAGAGAATTCAAGGATATCAACTCCAGTCGGCATACTCTCAATCATCAGCTTTATCATAGGCGCTGCACTAGTGGCGTTACCATATTCTGCATATCATATGGGTATTTTTACCATTCCATACCATATTTTCAATTGAGTCTGAGCCATTTACTCGATTCATCTGTTTCTAAAATGAGCAGAAGTGACAGGTCATGACTCGACAGCTCGGATTGGGTGTGAAGTGCTGGGAAAGTCCTCGTTATACTTGGTAAACTCACTCCAAATAATCGTCTTCGGAATGTTACCTATTGCCTACTTGATTATCATAGGCCAATCTTTAAGTTCAATGCTGAGGTGGATAGATAAAATTGATAGCAAGTACAGACACTCCCTAGGCGATCAATGGTTTAGTATCGTTGTGCTATCACTCTTGTTGGCTCCTTGGATATTCAAAAGGAAGTTTGAAGATCTCAAAGTGATTGGAGTGATACTATTCTCTACAACAATAATATTTGCAACTTCATTTTTCTTCTTATGAGTCTTCTTTAAAACCCCATGGCTCGATCACTATCAAAATATAAATTGGAACAAATTAATGAAACCTGAGTTTGACAATGAGTTCTTTGCATCTTTGTCAACCCCTCTGGTAGCATATGGGTTCCAGTCAGCATTCTTCCCAGTTTACAACAGTTTGAAAGAGAAGAATTACACTCAAGGCATTATCTCAACTATTTTGGCGATGACTTTTTGATTTCTCATCTATATGATGGTTATTTTTGCATCCCTGCCTACTTTCGGAGAGGAAATTTGTAGAGATGTTCTCCATAATTTACATAGTGATGGTAATAGACATTCTTGGCAAGGTATCCTTCTCAAAAGTCTCTACATAGTCATCTTGATAGGACATTTCCCATATGTGTTTCTGATGGCCAATAAGTCCCTTCTTGGGATAATAGCTTTGCTTTGCATTAGAGGAGAAACGCAAAACGAAACTGAGAATATTGAGTCTGGAGAAAGTTTCCAAAACCCACATGTAAGGAGCAGATTAGTTCCTACCGAAAGAGTTCAATTGCTTTCAGCTGAAAATAATCAACAATATGAAGCTGGTCAGCTTCATAAGCTAGCAGCAAAGACCCAAGACTATGATGAGCTAAACCATACTGATGAAAGTATGATTGAAATAGAGAATTCTAAACCATCGGATACTAATCTTGAATTTGGAAGCAATAGCTTGATCCAGGTTCTGTCAGCAGAAGACACCAACGTAGAAACTGTCTCTAGTAGCTGGAGACGCTTAATCTACTATTCAGTGACTATCTCCTTATACCTAGTCATTGTGCTATCGGCATGTTTTATTCATAATGTGGAATCTGTCATCAGGCTGGTAGGCTCAATTGGTAATTCATTTTTGAATTTTACTTTTCCTGGATTATTCTATTTCGTGATCATGCGAAGGCATGGTGTGAACAACAGCTGGTGGCAGCTAGGATTAGCCCTCACCCTATGCATCTATGGAATAGTTACAGGAATTTTACTAACAGGGTTTAATATTTTTGTGCACCCTGAAGTTAGAGTAAAAGAATGATTAGATTAAGATTTCATCATATATTGTAAAATCTGTTAATTTATCATGACAAAGTAAAAAAAATTGAAGTAGAAGTGTGAATTTTCAATAGAAATTGTTAACCCCGGGGTTTTGGGGTTTTGGGGTTTTGGGGTTTTGGGG